TTACAAGGAGTTTAGAGAGCAAAGCAGGAATGCTCAATAGTGCCAAACTGCATATCCTAACAGGCCTATAGTGGTTTGCTCTGCATATTCACTACCAAAAAGGGCTGCAAACGTTATAGCAACCACAAAGAGCCCCACCCCGGAGGAAATATTGTGTCGAAACATTAGATCAGTGGTTTTAAAACTTGATTGCACATCAGAATGATCTGAGGAACATAGAAAAATACACATTCCTTGGTCCCACCCTGGGAGATTGCAAATTAGTGAATCTGCAGCATGGCCCAGGAATCTGTATCAGTGACCAGTGCCTTAGGGTACAGTGATCCAGGACTGCATCTAGAGAAGCATCAAGTGCCAAATGAAGAGATAAAGCTCCCTTCTTTCTTCATAGCCAGACATATTTTCCTGCTCATATAAAGCAAAATATCTCACAAACAGTAAATTTAAATTATCGAAGTCAGCAGAAAGCAGCATGAACACAGCTAACCCAAAAGAGTGGTTTATCTCCCACGAAGTCATGCTTAATTTTTGATGAGTAATATGATTTTTCTCAGACTCAAATCGCTATCTTCTCCTCTCATGGAGACAAACCTTGCTTTTTAGATAAGCCTGAGCTAAGGCTGAGTGACTCGTTTTCTTCCCACTGGTATGGGTCTTTAAGTTTTTATGCAGTGAGATAATGCACATTTTAAAATTTAAAAGAAAATAAAGAGCTTTCTAAAAAGAAATCTGACTTGTACAAAATTTAAATGTATATTATTTACTCATTGGTTCTGGAGGAGGAGATAGTTATCTACAAAAGAATTCCTCATGTTACCAAAAGACTTACTTCCATAGACACATCCTTTAGGAGAAAAATCTGTCCAGTGTTGTCAAAATGGTATTTTATGGCTGAACATCTGGCCTGGGCTCAATGCGCATGGAAAGCACTGTTCTTACTAAAGCAAGCCACACCTTCAAAGTGACTGTGAGTTCCGCAGTCAATTCATAGGAGTCGGGGAGCAGCCAAGAGACATGCTGAGCTTAGCTGGTGTTAAGAGTTTTCCACAAAAATAACTGGCCCAATGTAGAAAATCTTCCCTTCTTCTCTTCTTTGTGAGCCATTTCAGGAGATGGCCCTGCTGAGGGCTGAGCGTAATATAAAGGCCTTAAAAGATTCAGTTCTTATCTCCCCCGAAAAATTCATCATCTGAAGGGGACATGGAAACCCATACTGTGTGGGTTACTAAAGCCCCGAGTCAAAGACCCCCATGGGGAGTCATATTCCCAAGCCGCTGGGGAAGGATAGGAGGGAGAGCTTGTACTTCTTCCCCTCGCCCCCACCTTGAGCCAGGGGTCTGGTTGCCATGTCCATCTCTGTCTCAATGGAGTAAGTGCTCAGTTCTCAGTGAAGGCCGTATTGGAACTGACAGCCTTACCATTGTGTGTATAATATGTCATGGCTGACAGATGAAGAAATGGGATTTCCTGAAATGCAGTGGGATATAGCCATCAGCCACTGCTAGAAGAAAGCCTCGTTCTGCCAGGCCCCTTAGAGAGCACCCCTTCTCGGTCCTCTTTGCTCCTTCACTTCAGCCTATCCGAGTGCAGGGTTGAAAGCACCATTTCCCCCCATTACTCCTGATCCTTTGTTGGGCTTCCCTTTTGTCCATCCTGCCCTTTGATTGCCTGGCTCTCCCAGCAGGGCAAATTGCCGCTGATAGGATGGAACAATGGGATCAGGCAGTGTCCAGATGGAAGCACCGGGAACCAGGCACGCTTAACTGCATTACTTTCAGCTGGTCTGCTCTGGGTGTAAGTGAGCAGGCCCCACCTTTCAGCTGCCAGAGTGAAACCCACCCTCCCGACAGTCACGCGGACCTCCCCAAAGACAGAATTCACTGGAAAGTGAAACAATTAACAGGAGATGGGGGAGGACTAACAGTAAAAATTGCACTGAACAGGCGTTACCATGCCAGTACCTTTAGTCCTTAAGTATTTGAGAAAGATTTTTTTTTGCTCAACACCTAGTACATTTAAGCAGTCCAGTTTCACTATGCGCCATTACCAAACAATTGATGGGTGGTTTATTGTCTTTCATGTGCAGCCATGTATTTTGTCATGGTAGTAGGCAGCTCAAACAGTATTTTATTTATTCATTCAACAAACATTTATTGGAAACTTTCTGGGTGGTTTGCTTTGTAGTAGGCACTGGGTTAAAAAGATAAATGAGAAATCCTCTGATCTCAGGGTACTTACAGTATACAAGAGGGAGAGAGAAAAGTACACAAATAAATGGCACACATAAAGATTGTGATAGATGTCATAGCCTTTATGAGAGACGATGGTTCATGCAGAAGGAATGGCATAAGAAATTAGGCTGGAGGGGGTGATTATGTGTGCAGACAATATGTTGCAATATATCAGTCATTAATCTCACTGTTGACAAAATGAAATACCCATAGTAAAATGTATGTTCCTTTATTTATTCAGTAAATGTTTATTGAGTGCCTACTATTTGCCAGGCACTGTGTTTGTTACCTCTGTGATGGTGTATATATACGATAGAAAGGGAGACAGATGTTAATTTAGTTAGTCCACAAATCCCATATAAAAGGAAAACTATGAGAAGTACACCCAAAATAAGAGGCATGGTTTTATTATAAAAACGTGTAGTAGAAGTATTTCTGTAAGGTAGGGGGATTCAGCTGAGATTAAAACATAAAGAAAGAGTTAATTAAGGACTCCGCTAGATGCCACGAATGAGAAGATGGAGCAACCGAGAAAATGGAGTGGGACTCAGTGACCAAGATTCCAGCGTCACCATGAAGGCCCCTTGCGGACTTCAGTGTCCTGATCTAAAAAAACAGACAGGTTGGTGGCAGGAGGTAGAAGAAAGACAAAGGGAAAGTGACTCTAAGCCCTGTTTTACCCAAGTCCAAAACAACAACTTACACCTTTTGTCCCACTATAATTTTTAATAAGTGCCACCACTAACTCTTAAAAATGTTGTAGTATAAGCAATCAACTCTGTTGCCACCCTTAGGAGTGGGAAACTTTGAGTCCTCTTGCAGACTTGTCATCCTGTGACTATATCCATAGTGCCAACTAAAATCCAAAACATAAATAAGGAGTGAACAAAGCCTCGATTCATATTAAGTGCCATTTAATGTTTTATGCCGTGAATAAGATTTTTATACTTTTTTCAAAAACATGGGATAGCCGCCTATGCCCACAGCAGTTATACCTAGTAAACAAAGTCAAGGGGCAGGATTAGTTCTCTAGATGTTGATGATGTGTTAGTGTATCTGTTATTTAACTACACGATGAAGAAAAGTTCAATAAATTTTTTTTCTTAATTTCTTTCTGGGCACTTATAGACTTAGCCTGGGGAAACTCTCCCATGCTACTTAAGAAATAGAGTGCAGTATTAGAAATATAAACAGGATTTCATAAAACAATGGGACAGAAAATAAGCCTAGGGAGTCCAGGAACTAGTATGAAGGAAACTCTGATTATTTTACTCCATTGAATTTTACCTGTAATGCTTCCTGGCGTTTATGCTTTGACTCTTAACAGAGACTGCAAGAAGTATTTTCAAATAAAGCATAAATTCTAAAGCATCAGTGGCAAATAGATATAGATGATGGGTGGATGGATGGATGGATAGATGGATGGATGAATAGATGATAGATAGATAGATAGATAGATAGATAGATAGATAGATAGATAGACAGACAGGCAGGCAGGCAGGCAGATGCATATTGCAGGTTAAAACTTCCCAAATTCACTACACAAATCATCATATACTTCTTAGTGGGGATTTTATCCAAAGCTTTCTATGTTTTACTAATATTTTCACTTCCTTAACAAATCTTAGGGTAATGCATGCTGTAAGTTTATTACTCTATGCATAAAACAGGACTTATAATAAGCTTTGAGGAATGCTTCCTTGTACTGGTAGTGTGGCTTGAAATCTATCCGGAACAATGCAAGCATCTCTATATTAAAAATAGTTGTAATATTTTAAGATGATATGTTCACTATCCATTCCCTTCATGATTTCATAGACACTGGTTATGCTTTGCCCCCAGCACAGGCTCTGCCTTCCCTAAGGAAGGTGCCAGAGTCTGAAGACATTCATTTAGAATCAATGTAGGGGAAAACACGGCTGACAAGTTCAGAGGTGTGATCTTGAATGATAATGATTTTTTCCTGGCACATTTGTCCAGGAGACTCAAGGTTCCTTTTGAGAGTATCCAAGAGTTTCCTCAAGAGAGCAGTCACTGCCTAATGTGGGCTTAAGGACGCCTTAGAGGACTAACTCCCAAACCCAGGCCCACTCCTGGAGCCAGCAAGGGCTTGAAGGCTCTTCCATTTTTGATCTATGCCTTTGGCCTACTTCCCCCATGAGGTCTTCAAACTGCCACCTGAATTCCTCCATTTGTGCTGCTTTGCCTTGTCACGGTGGCTCCTAATGAGCCACTTGTTTGAGTTGAAATACAGGATAAAGTACAAACAGAAATGGACTACAATCGGAGGCAGCCAGGAGGAGAGGCCAGGACAGATATAAGAGGCAGCCCAAGCTGGGCAAAAGAACGCAGGGAGTTGGGAAGCTCAGATTCTCTCCTGGACGCAGCCACCTCGGGCAGGACTCCCTGTTGTTGAAGTTTCAGCTTCATTTGTAAAATGCATGCATTGAGCTAAATGACGCTTAGGTCACCCCCTCTCTCTGAATAGTTTACATTCTCAGATTGCTTTAGACTAAGATAGGTTAAAATTACTGTTACTTGAGGGGGAGAGGGGGGAAGACGTGATTAAAGCATCCTTATTACTGTTTAAAATCAGAGCACCGTATTTTTACTACTGCAATTGAAAAACCCTCTCTAAAGTATTCTGGAATTAAAGGTGGCTGTTTCCAACGTTCACATCATGAAGCCTTTTGACATTACATTTTTAACAGCTCCAACATGCTCACCTTTGTTTTTCTCTCTCTCCCTCTCCACCCCACTCACCTTTAGGCTTACGAGCGGCCGCAGAAACACTCAGCTCTCCATTATGACCCAGGCCTCCCGCAAGACTTCACCGGTGACACCTTAAAACCAAAGCACCAGCAAAAAAGCAGCAGCCAGAACCACATGGACTGGTCCACCAACTCTGACAGTGGACCTGCCACTCAGAATTGCTTCATCAGTCCAGAATCTGGCAGAGAAACTGCAAGCACCAGCAAGATCCCAGCTCTTGAGCCCGTGGCTTCCTTTGCAAAGGCCCAGGGTAAGAAAGGCAGTGCAGGGAGCACATGGAGTCAGTTGTCCAACAGTAGCAAAGATCTGCTTTTGGGAGGTGTGGTTCCATCCCCAAGCAGCCACAGCTCACCAGCCCCTCCCAGTAGCTCTGCCGAGTGCAATGGGCTTCAGCCCTTGGTGGATCAAGATGGGGGAGGAGCAAAGGAGCCCCCAGAACCACCTACTATAAGCAGCAAGAAAAAGTCCAGTAAAAAAGATGTGATAAGTCAAACCATACCAAACCCAGACCTGGACTGGGTCAAGAATGCCCAGAAAGCATTTGACAATACCGAAGGGAAAAGGGAAGGCTACGCTGCAGATCATGCCCAAGAGGCATCACCAGCCAGGCAGAATGTGAGTTCCGTCAGTAATCCTGAAAATGACCCAAGTCATGTCCGGATTACTATCCCTATCAAGGCACCCTGTCTAGATCCAACCAGCCATAAAAGGAAAAAGAGACAGTCCATCAAAGCAGTGGTAGAAAAGATCTTGCCAGAGAAAGCCCTGGCTTCTGGAATCACTATGAGCAGTGAAGTAGTTAACAGGATACTTTCCAATCCTGATGGAAATAAGAAAGATCCCCGTGTCCCGAAGTTGGGTAAAATAATAGAGAACGAGTCCCCCTCCATTGGCCTTGAAACTGGTGGAAATGCTGAGAAAGTTGTCCCAGGGGGTGTGTCCAAGCAGCGGAAGCCAACCATGGTCATGACGCCTCCAACGTGCACAGATCACTCTCCATCGAGAAAGCTGCCAGATATCCAGCATCCAAAATTTGCTGCAAAACGGAGGTGGACATGCAGCAAACCCAAACCCACCAGTATGCTTCGGGAGGCAGTCATGGCCACCTCTGATAAACTGATGGTGGAGCCACCGTCTGCTTATCCCATCACTCCATCCAGCCCTCTGTACACCAACACAGACAGTCTTACTGTGATCACGCCGGTCAAAAAGAAGCGGGGACGACCAAAGAAGCAGCCTTTGCTCACGGTTGAGACAATTCATGAGGGGACTTCCACCAGTCCGGTCAGTCCCATCAGCCGGGAGTTTCCTGGCACCAAGAAAAGAAAGAGACGACGCAGTTTAGCTAAGTTGGCCCAACTTGTGCCAGGAGAGGACAAACCCATGAGCGAGATGAAATTTCACAAAAAAGTTGGAAAGCTTGGGGTGTTGGATAAGAAGACCATCAAAACTATCAATAAGATGAAAACACTCAAGAGGAAAAATATCTTGAACCAGATCTTGTCCTGCTCCAGCAACATTGCTCTGAAGGCTAAGGCTCCCCCGGAGACCAGCCCTGGGGCAGCAGCTATTGAGAGCAAACTGGGCAAGCAGATTAACGTCAGCAAGAGGGGAACCATCTACATTGGCAAGAAGAGGGGCAGGAAGCCAAGAGCAGAGCTGCCACCCCCGTCCGAAGAACCCAAAACAGCCATCAAGCACCCAAGGCCTGTTTCTAGCCAGCCGGATGTTCCAGCCGTGCCTTCCAACTTTCAGTCACTTGTGGCGTCTTCACCAGCAACTATGCACCCACTTTCAACACAGTTAGGTGGGTCAAATGGCAACCTGAGCCCCGCCAGCACTGAAACCAGTTTTTCAGAGTTGAAAACTATGCCAAATCTCCAGCCCATCAGTGCTCTTCCAACCAAAACCCAAAAGGGAATACATAGCGGAACCTGGAAGCTGTCTCCACCCAGGCTGATGGCCAACTCACCTTCACACCTTTGTGAGATTGGGTCACTCAAGGAGATAACGCTGTCACCTGTGAGCGAGTCGCACAGTGAGGAGACGATCCCAAGCGACAGTGGCATTGGGACAGACAACAACAGCACGTCTGACCAAGCAGAGAAGAGTTCAGAATCCCGACGGAGGTACTCTTTTGATTTCTGCTCCCTGGACAACCCGGAGGCCATCCCGTCCGACACCAGCACAAAGAACCGGCATGGCCACCGGCAGAAGCATCTCATTGTGGACAACTTTCTGGCCCACGAAAGCCTCAAGAAGCCAAAGCACAAGAGAAAACGGAAAAGCCTGCAAAACCGTGATGATCTCCAGTTTCTGGCAGACCTGGAAGAGCTCATCACCAAGTTCCAGGTGTTCAGGATCTCCCACCGGAGTTATACGTTTTACCATGAGAATCCATATCCCAGCATTTTTCGGATTAATTTTGATCACTATTACCCGGTGCCATATATCCAGTATGACCCGTTGCTCTATCTTCGTAGGACTTCAGACTTGAAGTCAAAGAAGAAGCGTGGTAGGCCTGCAAAAACCAATGACACCATGACAAAGGTGCCTTTTTTACAAGGGTTCAGCTACCCTATTCCCAGTGGAAGTTACTATGCACCCTATGGAATGCCTTACACATCAATGCCTATGATGAACCTTGGTTATTACAGTCAGTACCCAGCTCCTTTGTACCTATCGCACACGCTCGGAGCAGCTTCCCCATTCATGAGGCCAACAGTGCCGCCACCTCAGTTCCACACGAGCTCCCACATGAAGATGTCCGGTACAGCAAAGCATAAAGCAAAGCATGGAGTGCACCTCCAGGGACCTGTGGGCATGGGCCTTGGTGACATGCAGCCATCCCTGAATCCTCCCAAGGTCGGCAGTGCCAGTCTGTCCAGCGGTCGGCTCCACAAGAGGAAACACAAACACAAGCATAAGCACAAGGAAGACCGGATCCTGGGGACCCACGACAACCTGAGTGGTCTCTTTGCAGGCAAAGCCACAGGCTTCTCCAGCCACATCCTGAGCGAGCGGCTAAGTAGCGCGGACAAAGAGCTCCCACTGTTGAGTGAGAAGAACAAGCATAAGGAGAAGCAGAAGCACCAGCACAGTGAAGCCAGCCACAAAGCTTCTAAGAACAACTTTGAGGTGGACACCCTGTCTACGCTGTCCCTTTCTGATGCCCAGCATTGGACGCAGGCCAAGGACAAAGGTGACTTGAGCAGTGAGCCTGTGGACTCATGCACAAAGAGGTACTCTGGCAGTGTTGGGGATGGTAGCAGCACAAGACCAGAGAGCCTGGACGTGTTCAGTGACATGAACCCTTCAAATGACAAGTGGGACAGTGACTTGAGTGGGAGTAAAAGGAGGAGCTATGAAGGCTTTGGGACATACAGGGAAAAGGACATCCAAGCCTTCAAGATGAACCGCAAGGAGAGAAGTTCTTATGACTCCTCCATATCTCCAGGTAAGGCCGTTTTTCTTCAAACTGGGACTATCTTGTTACTAAATTGCCAGGGTTGGTTCTTTAGAGGTCCACCATCTTGGTCACATTGCATGCACTAGCTTGCAAAGAGGTAGGAACCACATGAACATTCTTGCACATTTGAGTGCACTGCACATTTTATACATTGCTTACTTGGTATTTACTGTCTTTACTCTCTCTTGAAGCCATTGCCTGAGAACTGTGGGCCCAGAGACAGCCTCAGTGCTACCTAGGCTACAACCATACGTACTACCTTGATTCTTTTTATGAAAGGTGCTCTTCTTATGTTCTCATCTGATCGGATGGTGCAGTTTGCTAGTTGGATAAAACCTCTAAACTCATTAGGAGTATCAACAAGATCCCAAGAATGTCAAAACTGGGTGTGAATGGATGTCTAGTTTATCTGGCATGGTTCTCTAGTGCTCACACATCCAGCTGAGCCATTGGAAGGTGATGATCAGTGAATCCTGAAGCCTACCTGATAAGGGAGCCCTAGGCCCAGGCTATATTGTCTTCTCTTTGTTTATGGGCATTTGATAAACTGCCTTGGGCAAGCTCCCGAGGTGAAGCCCTGTCATTTTGCTGCTGGAAAGGGCGGGAGCCTGGCTGAAAGGTGCTGCAAGCCTTCTGCACCCTAGGGGACCTTACTGCTGCGTCTCTTGCCATTTCCTCTGAAAATGGGACCTGCCTAGTGACCTCTAAATGGACAGATTGGTTGCTGCTTCAAAGAGTTCATGTCTTATCAGTTGCTGGCCAAATTTCCTTGCTAACCTGGCCACCTGTACAAACTTTCCTTGCTGTGGAAGCATCAGAGGTCTGCATAAGTATCCCTTTGTCCCTGTTCACACATCCCATAGATAAAATTCCTGTAAAACAGAGCAGAAATTTACTAGACGGCTCCTTCCATAGGAGTTGCAGAAGCTAAAGGATTTCTTATGTCCCCCTTGCCCCCAAATAGCACAAAACCCCTGGCCAAAGGTTGGTTTTAAAGGGCTAATCATCCCCGCTTAAGGTTTGGATGTCATGTTTCACCTGTTTATAATGTGTACCCTATACTTGTCCTTTCCTTTCCTGGGGAGTTTATAATTAGGGAAGGTGGGGGCAGACTATTCATGAGGAATTAGAGACATTTTCTAAGCCGACAGATTTCAGGAAGACATATGGTTATGAGTTAGAAGGCACTTAAAGATCACCCCAAATTGCCACTAGCTTGTGAGTTGCTGTGGTAGATGTTCTCCTTGGTTAATGAAGAGGCCAATTAGCAGACACGTCCCCTTCATTTGGCTCAGGTGATAAATGGCTCTCACTTTGTGTCTGCCCAAAGTAGATGTTCTCATCTGGGTTTCTCATTTCTCATCACCAGGCTTTGTGAAGGTGCTTGGTTTTTTTTGTGTGTGCGCAAAACCCAAGTCAAGCCCACTTGGGCAGGAGTTGCTAGATCAAACTTCCCCATGAGAAATACTATTGGTTTCTCTCTCAGCATGATAAAATTGATTCATAGGATCAAAACTAGTGATGGACACAGGGTGTTCTTTTTTTTATTATTGTCTTTACATTTTTTGGCTAGAAAAATGATGGTAGTATGTTATTGCTGAGAACCCACAAGCAAGACTCCTAAGTTAACAGACTTGAGGAGCAAGATCTCAAAAGCTAAAACCAGCTACTGTTGCTCCCTAGATTTCTCAGCAGTTTTACCGGGATGTTTTTTGTAGTGGGACCATATTTCTGGGTGCCAGCTGAAATTTCTTTGTCACTGGGTGTTTCTCTGAGGGTGCATAGTCTAGCCATACAGTTTTCCTTGTGTTTGCATTCACACACTGATCACTACTTTATTTAAAATTCTTCCTTCCTGCCCCCATCTTACTTGCTTTTCAACCTGCCACATGAGGTGGGAAAAAGTAGGCATCATGACCACATCATGAAAGAAAGCTGGGTTCAGCCTAAGCATTGGGCACTTATCCCAGCTTTGTTATGAATCCCTGCATGACCTTGGGCATGGCATTTCGCTCCGTAGGGGTACTGCCTGCCAATCTGTAACTCAGGGGCTTAGGCCACACCTCTTTTGTATAATATGTTTTCGTTCTTAAAGCCATTTGACCCATATTCATAACACCCTTTCTGCAGTTTTAGAAGAGAGGCATTTGCTTTCTAATTTTATACACCAGGACACTGAGGCTCAGAGATAGTGACTTGCCCAGGTTCAGAAAACTATTACTTTTGATTCTAAGCCCAGAGGTTTGTACCCTGCATTGCAGCTCAATACCATGTCATTCAACTAGTTAAGGCCGAGTCTTGAACACAGGTCCTTGTCCCCAGCCCATTGCTTCTATATCCCACTACCACCCTTCCGCTCAGACCCCCATCCATCCTCTGTTTACATGCCTTCCCCTAAGGCATCTGTGCAGCTATTATGTGATGGTTACAGAAGAAAGTAATTAAGACAAGAAATCTCTTTATTCAATCCCCAACCAGTGAATGATTCTTTATGGCCTAACCTTTTCAAATATCAGCCTGGAAACATCTACATGGACAGAGCCCCTACCTCTGTCCGTACTGAAATCCAGTTCTCTGAGTTACTGTGCTCACTGCTTTGTGCCCATCTCTGTGTTGAGTTTAATTTTCCTCAATATTTTAATAAATCATAATTCTTGTTGGCTTCTATGTCTTTATGAGTTATGCCTATTGTCCCTGCACATATTGTTGAATATCTTAACTGGCACAGATTGGATTCCCTATCATTTCCTTTCCTTCCAACCTTGGCTTCTCCTTGCCTGTATCCCAAATTCCCTCTCTATTTCTGGACCCCTAAAGCATCAGTGGAAAAATGTCTTTGGTGACACTAGGAGCCCAATGTCAGAGTTTGTCAAGATTCCCTGAAGGGCATTCACCTTAATGTAATACACTCCAGAGGGTGCCAGTTCTCACTGAAAGATGGGAAGCAGGTGAGATGAGGCTCATTACTGGAGGCATTCAGATCCCTCAGAGACTTTATCTGGGTCAAGGCACTGTCTGGATGGAGGATACTGGGGGTCATGAGTGGAAATAAACATCTATCCTTCCCACCAGTTCTCTCCCCCTCCAGTTTTTCCTTCTCCATTCTAGATTCATTTCTGTAGCATCTCAAGGTCCTATTTCACATGAGCTGGTCTTCTCAAAAATAGATATGACATAAATATAGATGTCATGCTTTAGCCTATTGAGGACTAGATTTAGGAGCTGCATCAAGAGAGGATTTGGAGTGCTCTCTGCAATCAGAGCTGATGAAAGGCATCACATAAATGTAAGTCATTACCAATATGGAGAGAGGACATAGAGACCCCATTTCGCAGCGACAACAGTTGCACACTCCATTTCCTCTTTCCTGCTTGAAACGTCATTCATTCTCCATCCCCCTGCCCTAGCAGATGGATGCTTTGTCCTGTTAGCCCCGTTACAGCACACCTAGACCTTAGAAGTCACATAGACTTCCTACCTTGTTTCTGCATTTTACTCCTTCTGCTCTTTTGGTTTTAGAAGGCAGTGGCTCTTTTGACCTGTTTTCTAAATGTATACCATCTGCTAAATCTCCATTTATAAAAATGCTTGCCTGGGGCCAAATAATGGATTGGTAATGGGAAGATGAAATCCACAGACTCTCAAGAGTCGGAAGAAGCCTTATCAGCCTTCATTTGCACCTCTCTCCCACCAGGCATCACTATCTTGCATATGCTGACATGCAGCAGACTCCCAGAAGAGCAAACCTGTCCAACGTTGACAATACATAGTCAGACTGTGCTCTCAAAGCCAAGTTATCATAAGGCAGTGAAAGAAGTCCCTGGTGTGAGTGATGTTCTTTTTGTTGAGACCACTTGGAAACAGTATTTGCATACTTTGACCTCAGTTTTTGCCAGGAACTTCAGACCTCTTGACCACTGCTGTCCAGGCTCCCATCAGATGTTGGGCAGTGAGAGGAGTTAATGTAAATATGTTACCTCTTTTTCCAATGTCATTATTATTCAGGTAGCCTCTCTGAGTCTCCCAGTGTCAAATACTTTCCTTATGAGTGAATGGATGCTGAGAACTAATCCTAGGCTCACCTTCCAGATATCAGAATCCTGCTGTAAGGTAGCTGGATTCCCTTGAGCTTGACTGACTCCACTTCTCCTTGTGGCTTCTGTCTTGCCCTTTGCCAGCTCTCCTTATCAGCACTGTGGGGCATTTTGGGAGGCAGCCTCTGTTGTCACTCACCAGCAGGAACTGAATGACCAAGCCAAAAATAATACAAAACCTCCTCCAAGCAATCATCCAGATGAGGGAATTAACCACACAGATGAAATGCCATGAAAACTATACAAAAGAAACATGTGTGAGGAGAGAGTCTTCTAAAAATGGAATAGAGGGAATAAGAGGACTCATGGGAGGAGAAAGTTAAGACCAGGAAAAAAGAAGGGGTAAAAAATAGAAAGCTGATGAAGTGTAGACTGTTTAACGTTAATCCAAGTGGAATTCTGGGTCATCCTGTGGGAGGAAATGAAAGATTAATTAGCCAATGGCTTCTGTGTGGTTTAGTGGGATTATGAGTACCTGCCCTGGTCTTGTTTCCTGCACTAACAAGCTGAAAGACCTCACCTTTTTGACTCTCGGTTTTCTCAAATGTGATTATGACAACATAGGTTCTGACCAGACCTGATAGTCCAGGAGTCTAAAAGTCTCTACGTTATAAAGGAATTTGAATATGAACACACACACATTCAGATTGGGCAGATAGGAAGAAAATGACCAAGTTATTGGCCATGTTGGCCAACTAATTAGCTGTTTAATGATGTTTCAGAACACATCCCTCTGGTCCATGTATTAATATGTGTGACTCAGTCCATTTATTTTTGGCTCTGACCACTTCACTTAGCCATTTGATCGCACCTTTCAAAAGAACTTCTTATACTTGACTCCCACCAACAAATGAGCTTACTCCTTGTGTGGGCAGAAGCCAGCCATCATCTTAG